TCCTGTTTTCTCCCTTTTCTTTATTTTGACAGATCCACTCCCTTCAAATTTCCCCAGGTGACCAAAAGAAGAATTTATGTTCCTCTTTGTTGGGCCATAACCACCTGCTTCAATTTTCCTTATGCCACTAATAGCCTCCAAGACCACTTTCGTCAGCTTTGTTTTCCCTTTTGTTGGGACATCTCCCCATTTCCCAATTTTCCCTACACCATTGCCGGGAACAAAGGAGTTTTTTGTCTGCTTTTTATTTCCCTCCGCTTCTACTCCTTCAATGTCTCCCCCCCCCCTTCTTCTCTGAGTTCTTCTATAGCTATCTGCTTCTCTGGATTTAAAATTCTAATAAAGCTTGATTTTACTGATTTATGTATATTTTTAAATTTTTCACATAGGTCTTCAAATTCCCAGTTTTCCATGATGTCCACTTCCAAAGTTATAGTTAATTATACAGTTATGCAGTTCTTATTTCAGAGTTATGTTCCACCTTAAGTCTATCTGCTTTAATTGCTGTGCGGCTTTGAGCTCCTGGTGTCACAGTGGATTTAGGCTTTAACCAATTTCGTTGTATTTAAATACAATGACAATAAAGATTATACTTTATCTCTCTCTGAGAAGGTTTATCTAAACAATTTAACAAAATAAATAACATGACTTTTGACAGAGCCACACAGAGGAGAAAAGGTGATAAACAGTAAAAGGAAAGCAGAGCATAAAAATGCCTTTATAACAATCTGCTTAGCAGCCCTTTTAATAACAGTAACTGGTTGTATATTATTTGAATATAACTGGGTACTTCAAGAGTGAGATTATTTTTGCCACTTTTCCATAAATGTTATCAAATATATATTTCTTGATGCCAAAAAAAGGTTTTTATTTTGGAGCATAGCAGATGAAGGAATACTTTTTAAAAAAAAACAGCATCAACAGCTTTGGTGAGAGGTTTTTTATAATACATATTTTTCCACTATGCCCTGGTCATTTATTTTTAATCAGTTAGGATTTTAATCCAATTTCAAAATTTTGAAAACACTAATTGTATTTGAATTGTTACAGTTGTTACAGCTTGCAAGTTCCAGGTTGGTATTTGTGGGATTGCATAAAGAAAGGCATCACCCCCTATCTCCGGTGCGCTGCTTTATTCTTCCATTATCTGCTGGCAGTACCTCCACCTGAAGAACTTTCATCCGGTAAGTACCTGAGTAGGCTACCTCCTTAACTTTGAGGTGTTCAAATTGAGTTCAAATTGTTCAGGAAACAAAATGTGCTATTAAATGTGGGTAAAATTTATAATATCAATTCACATCCATCACATTTTCAATTTCAAGCAGTACTTGCCATTGAAAACCCTCTTCTTAAAATATTGCTCTTTGCTGTTTTCTGGTAACTGCAATTATCAGGAATATAAAAAGGGGGCAGCGTAATGCTTATTATTAAAGTTCCCACCCCACCCCCCAAAAAAGACACATTAAATTATAGAAGCTCAATGCTCTGTGCATTGGGGCTCTTTCTGACTGGAGAGCAAATAGTCCTAATTTCTTGCTAACTCTTCAGTGTCAGTTTGCCATCTGAGAGGTAGAATTTCACATCCTTTACAGAAATGATCAGCATGGCAATTGGTTGTTATATAAGAAGCCTCTTGTTTTTCCCCAGTGTAAGAAAGCTGTTACAGCTTGAATTATTAAGGTTACAGTCACCAAGAAAATAATCCAGCAGCTCTGCTCATCTGTAAGAACCAGAATCTTCATGAATTCCTTATGTGCAGACTATTGTCTCATTCTGGTTATTTACAGTATTTTTCATACTGATTCAATTGATGGACTCCGTAGACTGTAGTTTTTGAATAGAGAAAGCTTTTATCCTAGGTGGTGCGATTAATATCTAATTATTATATTGTATCTAATATCTAAAATTATTCTTTTAACAGTTTCAGAGGAAGATCAGTTCAAGGCACTTTGTGATTATCTGTCTCTACCTACAAATCTCTTCATGCTTTTCCAAGAGTATTGGACTATTGTGGAGCCCTTACTTCAAAGGTATTCTTTATTGATAAAAAACAACAGCTAATATGCTATAGCCAAACAAATGAACTGTATTATTAATTGATACACAACATACTAAGATAATATATGGTTCTCACAGTCTAGTGAACCACATACTACTCATTCTCATTTTGTATATGAAGCAGACTNCTTTCATGGGCTGGAAGGTAGGAATTAATTGGCATTTAGCAGTGTTACGGTGTTTAACCTGACCTGGATTGTATGTATCCAGATGGAATGTATATGATTGCCACCGCCATTTTAATTTGGTTTTCAATTGGGATGCAGTATTGAATTTACTTTGGTTTCTTTATGGAGCAGTATAGTTCTGCTAGTTGGACTTCTTGGTACTTTTCAGTACATTTGGGCAAAATATTCTTTGGGACTTGGGTGGCCCTCCTTTGTAGTTGTTCAGGTCTTGGTAAACCAAGAGTTGTCCTTGGGATTGTGCTATTCAGTAACTAAGCCACTGATCTATGATAACCTGCTAGATTTCGTCATGTTTCCATGGCTGTATCTATGCAAAATCAATGGAAGATTCATACAGAACTTAGAGTGGGATGCCATCGATGTGCTGGTAGCTTTCAGCTCTGATTCCCCTTGCCATTCAATTCATATTTTCAAAATGCAAAAACTGATGAGCTGGATGAGAAAGAAAATGTGCAATTAAATCCAGGCAAGATGGAAATATTATTAGACAGTTCCCAGCTGGGGTGCTGTCTATTTTTATCTTTCGCTGGGTTCAAAGGTGATATTGGTACTATTATGATGATTCACCAGATACAAACATTCATAAATAAATCAGATTTGACAGTAGTTATTAATTGCCAATAATGATCTTTTCAGATTGTTCCTCTGCTCAGATACTGAATGATAGTGAAGAAACGCGTGCTGCTGAAGCTTTTTACAAAGAAATATGCAGATACACAAATCGGTAAGATAAACACGTTGTGTTGCATTGGTGTCCCACATTCTTCAAAAGAATGGGGGAAAGATTTCTTCAATTCAGAGATTCACAATCAGTAACTTGCTTATGACATTTACTAATATGTTGTACAAACATATCAGTGAATAAATCTCATGAGAAAAGGGGATTAGGGCAGTAAAAAATAAAAATTTAGCTGGAAAATGTTATGTTCCTCCCTCCCTCCCNCTAACCGGAAGCCCCCTGTTCAATTCTGGAGCTGACCAGAAGTTCAGTTCCCCCACCATAGAGTCTCCTCCTAGCGTGGCGTACTTTTTCCTCTACCTGTCATAACCGAAAGCCCTATCAATTGTGGAGACAACTGGAAAATCCTCCCCTTGCCATAGAGTCTTCTCCTGGCTCACTGTGCTTCTCTCCCCCCCTCTGGAAGCTCCTCTCAAAATTATGGCGCCGACTGGTGACGGAGCCGCAGCATAGGGAGGAAAGAGCCACATGCGGCTCCAGAGCCGCAGTTTGCTGACCCCTGTGCTACACCAACTCTGACATGAAAGCATGCCAGATATAAAAATAAACTCTCACGGCGAAAACAAGGTTTTTGATACCTATCGAATTGCATTAAAACCAAAATCTTATCCTATCCCATTGACCACTATTAAAGTATACCTTATTCACTTTACGTTTTCTTCTTGCTTTTAAAGAAAATCTTCTAGAAGATGAGGGCAAGGCTTTATTTGGCTCTCTACAAAGTAGACAGGTATGAATGACTAGTAATAAATGTGTTTTTATCCATTGCCAAGGTAAAGGCTTATGAGTACTGATCCAGATAAAATTGTGATTTTTTTTCTTGAGTTATTATTTTCTATTCCTAGTTATTATCTCTTCTTGTAAGACACTTCCAAATAATAGATATACTTAAACAGACACTGGATTGTGCTAAAGATGCTGTAGTTGCATTCTGCACTTTTGTTTTTTATGAAGAAGGACCTCAAGCTAAATATCGTGTTTCCCCAAAAATAAGACCCGGCTTACAATTTATTGGTCACCAAAATAAGCACTAGGGTTTATTTTGGGGGTAGGACTTATTTTTTGAGGTTTGCAGTGGAACAGGAGGCAAGGTGGGCAGTTTAGGACGAAATAAGAAGGGGGATGGAGGATGAAGCAAGAAGGCAGGGTAGTGGAGGAAGAAGCAAGGTAGGGGTGCGAAGCTGCCCCACGTACCCTGCAACAGCTTGCCAGAAGGCCCCACAGCCAGGCCATCAACATGTTGATAACTATCTGGCCTTGTGGCGGCGGCTTCAGAAGCCCTGTGCAGATCACCGGCCTGCTTCTTCTCCTTACATGCTGCTGCAATGAAGCAGGAGACTGAGCATTGCTCTGATGCCGCAGCCACTAAGTGAGGCAGTGGAGTGGTAGAGGATGAAGCTAGGCAGGGGAATGGAGGACAAAGCCCCAATAGTATCCTTGGCCACCCAGCCTGCAGAATCTTGATGTTGATGGAGTAAGGCAGCATTAGCTGGAACAGCCCCTTCCCTGTCTCACTCGGCGGCAACCAGTAGGGCGCCTCCTGCCACCACTCCTGTTCCACCATCTGTTGTTTGGAGCCCTTGGGGGGTTTGCCTTGCCATCTGCTTTCCAACTCCCACCATGCTCCCCTCTCTTCCCAAAAATATCTGTTCACTAACCTGCTTTCCAGCTCTGTTTTCCGCCACCACACACAGGGCAACAAAAAAGACTATGGGACTTCAAAAAAAAAAAAGTTCAATCAGACCTTCCAACTTTGCGGGATCGTTTCCCCCCCCCCTGAGAAGTTGGAAGATCTGATTGATCTTTTTTTTTTAGTCCCACAAACTTTTTTTGTTGCCCTGCATGCAGTGGAGCTGGAAAGCAGATTAGTGAAGGATGCTTTGGGGAAGCAAGGGGAGCTGGGCCGGAGCTGGAAAGCAGGTGGCAAGGTAAACAAGAAGAAGCTTCGTCTTCCACGCCTTGTTTCATTCTCCAGCGCCTCCCCCTCACTTCATGGCCATGGTAGCCCTCTCCCCCTCCTTGTATCAGCAGCAACCAGACAGAATGGGCAGGCGGCCAGCTGCACAGGCTCTTAAGTAGGGCTTACTTTGGGGATAGGGCTTATATTTGGTGCGGTTATGGAAATCGGGATAGCGCTTATTTTTGGGAGAGGTCTTATTTTTGAGGAAACACGGTAGCTGACTATAACCTAGTTGGATTTCACTGTATGTTCACTATTTGCTAAACACATGTTCAAGTGCTAGATATTTTTAAGCAGTTTTTTCAGATTGTACATTGAATGTTTATTTTCTCAATTCACTAATATATAAATTCTTAGCAAGGGGAAGTAAATCTTTCTCTACATTTGTATTTTCCCCCGTATTTGCTATTGAGGTATATACTGACCTAATTCTTCAAGCACTGAAGATAAGATTCTTTAAGAATAAGAGAATAGTTTCATTAAAACTTCCGTCTGTTTCTTCTTGCACTTCTAGCACAGTGGCCTTAAAGCACTGGTACAATTTGCAGCTGTTCAGAGGACTACAGTACCCCAACATGTGATCCAACAACATCTTGTACGTCTCCTAGGAGGTAATGCGTTTTTCATCACAAGATTTGGAAAATATTTCAAATCTTCTTCCAAATGTTTCTTTCCTAATACAGTTGTGCATTTTGATAAATAGCGTAGAAATAAGCAAGCACATCTAGCATTGTAAGACTCTAAACACTCCGTTAGATCAAAATACATACACTTGTAGATTTTATCAACAGTCATCAATAACATCATGATAATATCAAAATTACAATTATGTAAATCGTGTCATTTTATGATGATATAATATATATATATATATATAAATATTTGCCTCCTGTTGACCCGTTCCTTCATAAAGATACCTATGTGAGGGATAATTGGCTAAATATCTAAGCAAGAACAACCTCACTTTGAGATTAAATGTTAAAGAAAGAGTTTATTGGAGGCTTTTGTTTTGTTGAAGTTTTTTTGGAGCAGCAGGTGTTGGTGGGAAGCTAGAAAGGGAATATAGATGGTTCTCAACTTATGGCCACAATTGAGCCCAAACCTTCTATTGCTGAGCAAGACATTTGTTAAGTGAATTTTGCCCCATTTTACAATCTTTCATGCCACAGTTATTAAGTGAATCGCTGCAATTGTTAAGTTAGTGACACGATTGTTAAGTGAATCTAGCTTCCCCATTGACTTGGCTTGTCAGAATGTAGCAAAAGGTGATCACATGACACTGGGACACTGCAACTGTTATAAATATGAGTCAGTGGCCAAGGTATGAAGTTTGACCATGTGATCATTGGGATGTTGCAATGGTCGAAAGTGTGAAAAACAGTCATAAGTCACTTTTTTCAATGCCGTTATTACTAAATGACGTAAGTCGAGAACTGCCTGTAAAAGCAGTGCAGATTTCCAGCTGTAATTTTCTAGGGTTCAAGACAGGAAAGTATGACAACAAATGTCTAAGTGTAGTGCATTTATTTGATTATGAATTTGTTTTGTTTGTGCTCAAACCATAGCAATTTTCTGCAGGTTCACTTTTTCAGGCTTAAACTCATTCTTAGACAAATCTGTTCCACTTCTCTTTTGAAGTTTAGTCCAACCTTTTCTTTAAATGCACCTCTGTGTTTTTCCTTGCTGCCGTGTGCCTTAATAAACTCTTTAAGTACTATTTTAAACAGACAGGTTGTTGCCTCGAGGAGCTTATAATTTGGTAACATTGAAAGGCCCAGAGTGCTCCAGATTGATTACCGGATACAGTAGAGGGCTTAAAATGACCATGTGTTTCTTTGTTAACAGAAAGGGGAAGGCATTTTATTTTGCATTGATCCTCTAGCTATCTTGGAGGGAAGAAGGAAGATAGTGGCAGCAAATACTAGATAAAGGCAGTAACTGCTCTATCATGCCAGGTTGTGCTTCTTGAGTTTTTGGAATACGTTATCATTTGTCTAGAGGAGTTTAGATATCTAAGGGAAAGGATATATACTCATGACAATAATGTAAACAATGTATTGCGTAGTGGTGCAGGCTACTTCTGCT